GAGTGAGTGAGGAGGAGGATAAGTTAGTGTGGGAGGTAGGTCAGATGACTCCAGGGGCAGCGGAGAGGGAGTGCGGGGAGATTCTTTTCCAGGCGTGGTAGGAGATGGAGGTGGGTTGGGTGGTGGTGGGAGAGGGATTGAGTTAAGGGAGATAAAACGGTGATCTTTATCGGTGATTGTGAGGCCTGAGACCCTGAGGCCCCGGTTAATCACCAGTTCGAGTGGGTGACCATTAATGTGTGTGCCAGTGTGGATGTGGAGGGAGAGGAGAGAGGAGGAGTCAGTAGAGATAGAACAAGAGGAGGTGAAGTGCAGGTTCATAGAATCACAGATTTATACACCACAGAAAGAGGACATTCGGCCCATCGTGTCTGTGCCCGCTCTTTGAAAAGACCTATCCAATTCAATTCCACGGCCCCTCTCTCCCCATAGCCCTGCAAACTTGTCCTCCCCAAATAATTATCTACTTCTCTTTTAAAAGCTGTTATCGAATTGGCTTCCACCAGCCTTTCAGGCAATGCATTCCAGATCCCAACAACTCGCTGTGTGAAAAAATTTCTCCTCCCCTCCCCTCTGTTTCTTTTAACAACTTATAAATTGGTGTCCTCAGGTTACCGACCCACCCACCAGTGGGAATAGTCTCTCCTTGTTCACCCTATCGAATCCCCTCATAATTTTGAAAACTTCTATTAAGTCTCCTCGTAACCTTCTCTGCTCTAAGGAGAATAATCCCAGCGTCTCTAGTCACTCCAGATAACTGAAGTCCCTTATTCCTGGTACCATCCTGGTCAATCTCCTTTGCACCCTCTCCAATGCCTTGACATCCTTCCTAAAGTGTGGGGCCCAGAAGTGAACACAGTCTCTGGCTGAGGCCTCACCAGTGTCTTATAAAGATTCATCATAACTTCCTGACTTTTGTATTCTATGCCCATATTTATAAAGTCATGTAGGTTGAAGTCGCCCAGGATGAGGAGCCGTTCAGAACAGAGGCAGAGAAAGCTAGAAGTGCGGATTTGTCAGATATGAAGGTGGGGGAGGTTTTGGGCTGATGATAAATCAGGAGAATTTTGCGGGAAAGATTGGAGGAATGGTAGAGGGTAAGGTACTCGAAGGAGGGGAATGATTGGAGGAGTAGCCGGATAGAGCAAGTGAGGACTTGGAGATGAGGGTCATGCCACAGCGGTTAGGACGTGGGGTTTGGTGGGAGGTATAGCCAGGTGGTGTAGCCTCAGTGAGGGGGAAGGTATCGCCTGGGGTGATCCAGGTTTCATCAACAATGAGGTAATTGATGGACATTTTATAGACCGATGCGGAGAGGACAGTTGTCAAGGGAATGTGTGAGATGGGAGGGAATAGTGGGAGGATTGGCAGAGAGGATGAGAATGAGGACGAGGGAGGAGAGGTTGGCCCCGGGGTCTGGGTCCGGTGGGGTTTGCGGTAATGGTGGAGAATGGGGCAGTCAGTGTAGCTGCTGCTGGACAGCCAAGCCGAGTGCCAGGGTGAACCCGGCAGAGGGATTCCCAGGCTGGAGCAGAGGGAGGCTGTGGGACAGTCAAGTGGGAACAGGAGGCGAGTAGGACAGAGAGAGAGGAGGAGAGGGCGGGAGAGTTGTAGGGTAGGGAGCATTGGGGCGGAAAAGCAGCTCGGGTGGGGAGCGGCAGCCAAGATGCACACGCCAAGACTTGAGGCAGGCGGTTAGTGGGGAATGGACAGATCATAGACATGGAGACTACGGGGGCTAGAGGCAGCGCAGAGTGGGGAGAGGAGGCAGGGTTATTGTGTTATCCATCGGATTGCCCAACCAGGAAGATAACACCGAGCAGCCTGTAGGGAAAAGACAGAGGAGGGGAAAGAGATATCAATAGACTATTCTACACCTGGTTCCAGGGACTCAAACCTGTAAATGGATCCAGAAGAAATATACTCTCTATGTGGAGAGTTCTCGGTGACGTACTTAGGCAGCTGTTTATTCTAACTCCTGACTACTGTTTATACAGTAGACGCATTCACCAGCGTGTATCTGAAGTCCGGTGTGAGTGTGTTTATTTGCTGTGATTTTTTCCCCAGGACTAGCGCTCTGTCGAGGCTGATGACCGTGCGCCTGGACAGAGAGAGTATCTGCGAGCTGAGCGGTTTGCAATGCTTGGGGCCGCCTTTGCACAGTCTCTACCTACAACAGGTGAGTGAAACAGCTGCAGCTTCTGAAGCATTCGGGTCTCAGCCTGGCTCAGCTGGTCACACTCTCGCCTCTTGAGATGTGAGGTTGTGGGTTCAAGCCCCACGTCGGGGACTTTGAGATCAGTGTAGGCTGATGTTCCAGTGCAGTGCCAGGGGCTATGTGTGTGTTTGTGTGTGTGTCAGGGGGGAAGGTAGGGGAAGGGCTCCACTGTGTGGCTACTGAAATGGCCGAGCTAAGTAGAAGTCTCGATCAAAGTGATTCCTGCGCTCATTCACCTCCTGTATCTTTGTTCCATTGCAGAATGTAATTCAGAAGATAGAGAATATTGAATTCCTTCACAACTTGAGGTAAGCCACGCACAGCCTCCTGAGCTGGAGACGTTCTTTGATTCCCCCAAACAATTGGCGGAGGCGCAGTCCTTCAGATGAGACATTAAACCGAGGCCCCAGCCTTCGTGTGGACGTTAAAAGATCCCGCAGCGCAGCTGGAAAAGAGAAGGGAATTTCTCTCTCCCGGTGTCCTGGCCTCAATCCCTCAGATACAATCACTCATCACCTCATGGCTATTTTTGGGCTATTTTTGTGATCCTGCCTTCGACACCGTCGACCACTCTATTCTCCCCCACCATCTCTTCTCTCACCTCAACCTTCATGGTTCTGTCCTTGACTGGTTCAGATCCTACCGCTCACACCGTCTCCACTTCATCTGCACAAACGGTTTCTCCTCTAGTCCCCGCACCGTCTCATGTGGCGTTCCTCAGGGCTCTTTCCTTGGTCCCCTCCTCTTCAGTATCTCTGTGCTCCCTCTTGGTGACATAATCCGCAGACATGGGATCAACATCCACATGTATGTGGATGACACCCAACTGTACCTCTCTGCTTCCACCCTGGACTCCAGGACCACTGCTGTCCTGACAGAATGTTTGTCAGACATCAAGCCTGGATGAGAGCTAACTTTCTGCAGTTGAATGTCAATAAGACCGAGACAGTCCTGATTAGCTCCCGTCAGCACCTCCTCACCTCAGGCGCTGAGAGCATCACCATCCATGATTGCACACTCCACCTCACTGAGCCAATCTGGAACCTTGGGGTCTTGTTTGACCCTCAACTGTCTGCCTTCCCCCACCTCCGCAACATCGCCCGATTCTGCTACTGCCTCATCCATCAGGCCGCCAAAACCCTCATCCTCGCATTCATCACATCGAGGCTCGACTATGCCAATTCTTTGCTTGTCGGCCTTCCCATCTCTTCCCTTCATAAGCTGCAGATCATCCAGGACTCTGCAGCGTGTATCCTCTCTAGCATCAGGCTCCATGACCACATCACTCCCACCCTCACCTGGCTCCATTGGCTCCCCATCCCCCAGAGGATAGAGTTCAAGATTCTTGTCCTCACCTTCAAGGCCTTTGTAGCTTTGCTCCTCCCTACCTCTGCGACCTGCTGACCCACATCAACCTGTCTGCTCCCTCTGCTGTGCAGGCTCCAACCTACTCCATGTCTCCCTCCCGGCCTGCCCCACCATCAGCGGTCGGGCCTTCATCCTTTCTGCCCCCTCTGGTACTCCATCCCACATTCCCTTTGCCTCGCTCCCCCCCTTTCTTCCTTCAAGGAGTTTCTCAAAACCCTCCTTTTCGACCGAGCCTTCGATCACCCTCCTACGCTCCACGCCCTGCACCCTCCCCGATCCCAACCCCCAGCTCGGGTCCAAATCCCTGATTGTCCAGCGCCTTGGGATGTCCTCCCAATGCGAAGGGTACTTTATAAATGTAATTTTGTATTGTATGTCACTTTGTGCAAATTGCCTGCCACATTCACCAACAAAACACACAGTGGCTACACTTTACAGTAAAATTCTATGAAGCATTTTGGGACGTCCCTCCCGATGTGGTGCGATGCTCTGTCTAAAGTGAGGAATATTCTGTACCAATGAATCTGGAATTCTCGGCCACAGGTTTTTGACGCTGGCTGCCAACAAGATCCAGAAGGTTGAAAACCTGCAGCGCTTGTGTAGCCTTGGATTCCTGGACCTGTCGGATAATCGGATTCAGGAGCTTGACCCAGGTTAGGGCTTGTATTAGAAACTACTGATCATTATTTTGATATTGATGAGCGATCGACTGGCCTGACTGTGTAACAGCAACAGTCCACACAGCTGCAGGGCGCAGTCTCCCCTCTGGGTCTAGGGGTTGTGGGTTCAAGCTCGATGTCGGGGACTTTGAGCTCAGTCTGGGTAGACGCTCCAGAACAGTGTTGGAGGCGTCTCTTTCGAACGAGATGTTAAACTGAGCTCTTCATCTGTGTCTTTACAGGTGAACTTTACAGATCTCGTGGTGCTGTTGGAAAAGTGAAGGGAGTTTCTCTCTCTTCCCCCGGTGTCCTACCCAACAATCCCCCCAGATAAACTCAGTCACTCATTTCATGGCTGTTTGTGGGACGCTACTGTGCACAAATTTGAAGCACTTTGAGGCGTTCCTCCCCCAATGTGAAAGGCTCTGTGCCAGCTGTAAGCATTAATATTTATGTTCCGATATCGAACCCATTTAATTTCTTCTTTTATTCCCAGGTGAATTCCCAGCAAGTCTGGTCATTCTGAAACTCACGGGAAACGACTGCACAAAGCGAGAGGGATATCAGTGAGTTCCTGATCTCTGTCCCTTCAAAGTTCCATTTATTACAGAACCTTTTATTGGGTGTGAATGTAAAACTTTAAAGGGCATCTGTTAGCCCGGGGCTATTTTGTGGATTTAGCCACTGATCCATCAGCCAGGATAGGATGTGTGAGCCCAGCACAGCGGGGAGAATACATGCTCTGTCTACATGTCTCAGCACAGTTTGGTGGGGAGCACTCTCACCTCGAGGTCAGAAAGATGTGGGTTCAAGCCCCAATGTCAGGGGCCTGAGCTCATGGTTTAGGCTGACGCTCCAGCACAGGAGGCAGAATGTTGACGAAGAATTTTAGGAATTTACTGCACAGAAGGAGGCCATTCGGCCCATAGAGCCAGCGTTCGTTCAATCCCACTGGTCTGGCCTGATTCACACCCCTTCACACCTCCATCCCTGTCTACTTCCCTCTTGAAACCCACAATGTACTCTGCCTCCACCTTATAAAATAATAATCCTTGCATTTGATACGAAACAGCAGTCAATATACACACAGCCACATCCTGCAAACACCCACAAAATGAGTGAGTGATTGTATCTGGGGGATTGTCAGCCACGACCCCATGAGAGAGAGAGAGAGAAACTCCGTTCTCTTTTCGAATAACGCTGCAGATATCTTTATAATGTCCACCTGAACAGGGCACAGACATAGAAACAGGAGTAGGCATTCAGCCCCTCGAGCCTTTTCCTCCATTCTATAAGATCACGTACTGATCTGTACCACAACCCCAATTATCCGCCTTGCCTCATATCCCTTAATACCCTGACCTAACAGGGTCAGCGTATTCAGGAGATAGGAGCTTGGTTTAATGGTTTATTTGAAGAGCAACACCTACAACTATGCAGTGCTCACACACACCCTACACCCCATATTGCACTGGAATGTCGACTTGCACCGAGTTGGGGGCTGGAACCCACATCCTTTGCCTCAAGGCCAGAGTGTTGGGCCGGGCAAAATTAGATACATATTGGCTCGTGGGATATTATGCTAATGTGTAGTGACTGTGTAGTTTGGGGGTGAATGCTGCAAGCCAATATACATAGGTTATGCAAACACCCATGAAATTAATGAGTGATTTGACATGAGAGGCCAAATACTCTCCAAAGGCAGCAGACAAGTGCTGGAAGCTCCAGCAGTGATGGCGCCTGTTTTACAGGGAGCTGGTGACAAAGGCTCTCCCTGGCCTCCGCCGGCTCGATGGCCATTTCATAGACAACAACCAAGACATGTACAGTGTCTGTGAGGAGGAAGGGGAGGGGGAGGAAGACGAGGGGGAGGAGTTGGCCAGTGGAGAGGAAGACCAGACTGAGGATCAGGAAGACGATTTGCTGCTGGAATTCCCGTATTCGTCACAGTCCATAAAAGGTCAGTTATTGCCATCGTGCGAAGTCTACACTGCGCTGTCACAGCGCTCCGAGACGTGACTCCACTGTGAAGCGCACTGTATAAAAGCAAGTTGTTGTTGATGTCAGGAATGGTGAGCGCTGCTTACAACCAAAATTACTCCAAGTGTTCACATACAAAAGGACAAAAAGATAATCTCTGAAAAGATTTGAACCGCAAGGGGTGTGTGTGTGTGGGCGGGTGGGGGGTGCTCCCCTATAATCCTCTCTGGGTTACTGTGAGCGTGTGATGGAAGTCTGATGCACACACTCATTGCCTTCCCCACGCTTTCCCAGGTTTCTTTGCAGAGCTCCACAGGCGGCTGATGGATCGCTCCCGGCAGAGGAAGCTGGAAGCCGCAAAGGAGCATCAGCGGCGACTGCAACAGGTGCTGAAGGTTCACCAGGAAACCACAAGGAAGCTACGAGAGACTGGCTCCTGGCACAAGGTGTCCAGGGACGACAGGAATCAGCCCAGCCTCGAGGGGAGCCAGCACAGGCCCGAACGGAGCCAGCCCAGCCCAGAGGAGAGCCAGCCCAGCCCCGAGGGGAGCCAGCCCAGCCCAGCCCCGAGGAGAGCCAGCCCAGCCCAGAGGGGAGCCAGCCCAGCCGGGAGCCAGCCCAGAGGGGAGCCAACCCAGCCCATCCCCGAAGGGAGCCAGCCCAGCCCCGAGGGGAGCCAGCCCAGCCCATCCCCGAGGGGAGCCAGCCCAGCCCATCCCCGAGGGGAGCCAGCCCAGCCCATCCCCGAGGGGAGCCAGCCCAATCCAGCCCATCCCCGAGGGGAGCCAGCCCAGAGGGGAGTCAACCCAGCCCATCCCCGAGGGGAGCCAGCCCAGCCCCGAGGGGAGCCAGCCCAGCCCAGCCCGAGGGAGACCAGCCCAGCCCAGAGGGGAGCCAGCCCAGCCGGGAGCCAGCCCAGAGGGGAGCCAGCCCAGCCCATCCCCGAGGGGAGCCAGCCCAGCCCATCCCCGAGGGGAGCCAGCCCAGCCCCGAGGGGAGCCAGCCCAGCCCCGAGGGGAGCCAGCCCAGCCCAGCCTCGAGGGGAGCCAGCCCAGCCCAGCCTCGAGGGGAGCCAGTCCAGGAAGCGTTGGGAACACTCAGCAGGTCAGGCAGCATCTATGGAGAAAGGAAAGTGAGATAACCTTTGGTCATTGACCTGAAACATTAACTCACTTTCCTCTCTCCATAAAACGCAAAATACTGCAGATGCAAATCTGAAAACAAAAGCAGAAGTCGCTGGGAACCCTGACCTGCTGAATGTTCCCAGCGACTTGTTTTTAATCATCCTCACATTGCAACCTCTCAAAGTACTCACTGCGACATGTATTGATTGTGTAATTGTAGCTGAAGGTGGCAGCCAATTTTCACACAGCAGCGTCCCACAAAGAGCCATGAAGTGAATGATGTTTGTGTTGGTGCTGAGTTAATAATATTAATCCTTCCATTTGATATAATAATGATAATAATCCTTGCATTTGGTACAGAGCCTGATCCCATCTTCGAGACGTCTCAAAGCGCTTCACAGAATAGACTGTAAAGTGAATTGACTGTATGTTTTGTGAGCGAGACGCAGCAGCCATTTGCGCTCAGCAGAGTCCCCACAAACAGTCGTGGATTGAAGTGACCAAATTATTTTTATAATTTGCACCAGGCGGCGCCAGAGAGGCTAATCCTTGGCCCAACACCGAATAACGTGTAGTGAAGGTGCTCACATGTTCCGGCAATTCAAGTCGGGCCCCAGAGGGCGAGAGCCGAACTGTCAGCAGTTAATAAGCATCACCAGGTCCCCGAGACATTCCCAGCTATTTTATACCTGCAGTAGGGCTTCCTGCCTACCCACTGTTATTGTCAGCGTGCTGTGTTGACCTCAGACCCTCACTGTAGCTTACAAACAACTCTACACCCTCTCCCCAAAGGCTTCACCCCCCCCGCCTGCCCCCAAACACAGCAAAAGGTAAATCAGGGAGCGATAGGTTTCCTGTTGTACAATGACACAAGCAATGCACGTAGACTGTAGACTGTCCCCCACAGCCCAGGGAAAAGCTCAAGCCACGACACACTGCTGAACTGCCCCAGGCATGGCCTCAGCTCCGCTGGCCTGAGGCTCAGTGATCACACATTCTGACCCATTTATGGGTGCTTTCATCTCCCCCCAACCCCCCCACCCCTTCCCCTCCCTCCCGGTTCAGCAGAAGACGACTCGGGGCACAAAGGAGAAATTTCAGACAAGCACCACAAAGTACTTCTTTTCCTAGAGGGTGATTTAATGGAATGGGATGACCAGGAAAGAGGAGTGGGAGGAGGGGTTCGAGGCTGGGATGCTGTTTGAGAAATAGCTTGCGACTGTGAGAGGGAGGATGGATGGTCAGGTGAGGTTCTGGAGGTTGATGTAGGTTAAGGTTAAGGTGTGATCACTGAGCCAGGGCAGCACCCTGAGTGATCGATGTTGTTAGAGGATTGTTGGCCATGACACTGGGAGAGAGAAACTCCCTTCTGCTTTTGAATAGTGCCATGGGATGTTTAAACTCCACCTGAACAGGCAGACAAGATGTCGGTCTCATCCAAAAGACGGGACCTCCGACAATTCAACACACCCCAGCCCTGCATTGCAATGGTAGTTTAGACTCTGTGATTCCAAGCCCCAACGTGGTACTTGAACCCACAACCTGACCCAGAGGTGACGCACGTCACCTGGGATTTGGGTGGTATGGGTGGGTGGGGGGAGAACAACAACAACAAAATTGTGCAAAGCGCCTTTCACGTCGGGAGGACGTTCAAAGGCGCTGGACAGACAGAGTTGGTTACGAACCCGAGCTGGGGGGAGGGTGGAGGGCAGAGGGGGAAGCAGGAAGATCGAAAGCACAGTCAAAGAGGAGGGTCTTGAGATGAGTTTTAAAGGAGTTAAGAGAGGGGGCGAAACGGAGGGACTGCGGGATGGAGTTCCACAGGGGTGGGGGAAGAATGGCAGGTCCGCACAACAATAGTGGGGCGAGTGAGGCGGGGGACGTGAATCAGGCTGGAGCCCGCTGGGTGGAGGGAGCGAACAGGATGGTAGGGATTTAGGAGGTCCTAGAGGTAGGTGGGAACAAGACCATGGAGGGCTTGAAGGTAAGGACCAGGATCTTGAACTGTATCCTCTTGTGTGATGGGGAGCCAGTGGAGTTGGGTGAGGATGGGGGTGATAGGGTCGCGGAGCCTAATGTGGGCGAGGACACGGGCTGCAGAGTTCTGCATGATCTGTAGCCTGTGGAGGGAGAAGCTGCAGGCCTTAGAGGCTGGGTATTGGTTTGCGAGGTTGCAGTCGTCACTTGCAGTTACACAGCACCCTTCTCATAGGGCAACCTCTTGGAACACCTTACAGACGGGATCAGGCACCAAGCAAGAGAGAAGGGGGAAGGAGACCATGGGCACTGTCAAACGGGTAGGTTTTCAGGTGGATTTAAAGATAGTGAGGGGGTGCGGCAGAGGGATTGAGGCAGACTGTTCAGAGGTTAGGGGCAGTGCGACTGAAGGCTGAGGAATAGGGTATGAGCAGGTCAGAGAACTCCAGGATTGAGAACCAGTGACTGAAACTCATCACGTGATCAGCTAAGTGTCTGTCACAGAAACCGATGTTGTAAGAGTATCCAAACATGAGTTCCACATGGAGGGATGTGTACCTAATTCCGGAGAGTATGCACAGGCTGGCAAGAGCCAAAGCTTGGGGATCTTAAGTGTTGTTGTGGTGGTGGAGGGGTTGGGGGGGGGGCGGTGGAGAGAGATTTCTCTGGCAGTTTGACCCGCTAATATAAGAGTTTGCCATTGAGATCACAGTTTGGCAAGCTTCCCTTGTCCAGCCAGGATGAGAAGACCTGACCCATTGGACAGCCTTGCCTTGCAGGCTTCTCACGGCTGAAATAATTAAGAATTTGTTGATCTCAGTAATTTTCTCCCCTTCCCTAAAGGCGTTTGAGACGCCTCATTTGCCCCTGGGCTATGGTGGCGAGGGCTGGCTGGTTGTCCGTACAGCTCGGCTGATCACTGGGTAATCTCATTTGCTGTGCAGCGACAGGATCCGGAAGAGCCCTGGGACCATGAGGAGCTACAGGGGTTGCCAGGGGGAACCAGTTTCAAGCTGGTGCCTGCATTGTTAGCCAGTGTTAGTTATGATTCTGATCAGGCTCAGATATTGTGGAATGTGCACTGGGAGAGCTCTAGAGAGAGGCGGTTGGGGGGTTGGGAGGTGGGTACAGGGGTAAGAAAGTTGTACATCTGACATCAGTGGTCCAGGCTCACACAATCTTTCCGTTTAGTGGCTTTCCTCTGGTGGGGCGGGAGGGGGCGCATATGCACAGTCTTTTGGGGAGGGGAAAGAGTGTTCCAGAGGTGCTGCTCTTGACAATATAGCGCACACTGGGACAAGGCGTTGGGAGTCTAACCCCAGCGTGAGTTGTCCCAGACAGCTCATCTGTATTGGCTCCAGGGTTACAGCTCTAAAGGCCGTTTAGGAGTGAAATCAGAAGGCAGTTTTTCACACAAAGGGGAGTGGAAATCTGGAACTTTCTCCCTCAAAAGGCTGCTGGATCCATTCACATTTTCATGTCCAAGGTGGATAGATATTCGTGAGGTCAGGGTATTAAGGGTTACGGGGCAAGGGCATGTCATTGGACTTGAGGTACAGTTCAGCCATGATTGTATAGAATGGTGTAACAGGCTCGAGGGACTGAATGGCCTACTCCTGTTTCTATGCTTGGCAATGAATTGTCGGAATTGAGTCAGCCCTCTGTGGCATTCTCAGTTGTCCTGTTCCTGAGCGGATACCACAGTATTCCAGAACATTGCTGTTAAGAGCATAGCCAGGCCTGGCTCAGGACCTGGAAGGGCAGACTAGTCACTGGGGGGGCAGGGAGTCATCCCACTCAGCTTCTGTCAACCCTGCAGCCAAAGCCCTAACAGGTAGGGTGGTCCAAGCCGGACAATCAGCAGGAAAGCTTGTCAGACAGCGATATCAAATGCAAGCTATGCTGTATTAGCTGGTTGGAATCCAGCAGTTTCCCCAACGCACACTCTGGGGTCCCCAAGCCTCGACTCTTGCCAATTTGTGCCTAATACTTTCCGAAATTAGGTAAACAGGATGTGTCCCTCCAGGGAGAGAGTGCACATTCCATTCCAACAACCTAGCTCTGGAATTCTGTTTGGTTTGGAACATCTTAAACATGGTGATGGGTTTCTGCGTGTATCAGACACCCGGCTGGCCAAAAAAAATCAATTCTTCTGTTGGATACAGCAGTTTATTACATTGCGAACCCTCAAAGAACTTCATGTATTTTATAGATGAACTCGGGAGCTAATTCGCGCACACCAATGTCCCAGAAACATCCATAAAGTGAATTACCAATTTTATCTGGGAGATGGTCAACCAGGAGAGAGAAACTCCCTTCTCTTTTCGAATAGCGTCCTGGGATCTTTAACATTGACCTGAACAGGACACTTGGGAGCTCGGTTTAACTTCTCATCCTAAGGTCAGCGCCTCGGACTATGCAGCACTCATCAGGACAAGGCCTTGGAGTCAGCATTACTAGGACGGAAAAGTGCAATACATTCTCAGCATTTTTCTCCACAATGTTCAACTATAAAGTGCCCGCGTTGCCAGTGTTAAATGATGGATGTATTACTGTCACCAAACACAGGACATTCAGTACTTAATGAGGACGACTTTCATTCAGTAATCCAGAGTGTGCTTCCTCCAATTTTAAATCTAGCTCACAAGCTATACTGTCCATTAAGAAACTCATTCCTTAATGGACTGTCAGTGCCAGGTTTGGCTGTGGATTGATGGCAGAGCCATTGAATCCTGTTAACTATTGCCTGACAGAATGGTAATTAATGAATAGGAAAACCATACGTTCATCTAACAAGTTTGTACAAACAGCACTACAACACCGTCACAAGGCACCAATAACAACACTGAATGTGTTGAATGTACTGAGACACCACCTCAGCTGCTTTTTTCTATTTCAGCAAAAAACAGCCTGGAATGTCCTTTCATTGCAGCTCACATTATTACCGGTATTCAGCTGAGAATTGCTGACAGTATTTAAGAAACACAATCAGGCCACATGCACTTGGGTAGAAAGATGGTATTTGTATATGGTTTGCATTCGCCTACAAAATGTGTCACAATACTTTACAACAAATTCTGTGAGTTACTTTGGGATGTCCTCCTGATGTTCAAAGGCAAGATATCAAACATAAAGAATATTATTATTACAATTAGTTACTGGGGTGATGGTGGGGGGGGGGGGCACAATATATAAGGGAATTCCTTAATAAGAAATCTTAGGTCACAAACACGCAGAACATTTGTTTGTTGATGCAGGAACTATACAACTGTACATTAACACCAAAGACATTTATACAGCACCTGACAGGCTGAGGGGGGGATATTGAAGATTCACACTGGGAATGTGGCAGATCAGAGCCACCAGATCTCGACAAACCCAATAATGAAATGGAACAAACGTGACCGAGTGCACAGTAAATCACACTTCAATCCGGGAGTAAGAAAAATTAAAGTGATTATTTTTATTTCATTTTTCTTGATAATTAACAGAGAACCAAGTCCAGTTGGCCTGCGTGATACAGCAAATACACAAGAGTGGTTTTATATCCTCTAGTTATTGCAATCTCTATATTCTGAGTCTTTAGTTTTACTATTTCAATCCGACAGAAGAGGCTGCTGTGTACCATTTTACCATTTAACAAATTGCGATTACAAAGTCTTGTGTTTCATAATCAGGAATTGCATAGCAGAGGGTAAATTACAGAACATGTCAGACTTACAGCCAAACCACCTCACACCCAGCGCAGATCAACCATAAGATGGGGGGGGGGGGGTAGGGGAGAATCTAGGAAACACATTAAAACAATCGGACAATAAATTAATCCAGCTAAACAACACTTTAATAATGATCTTAATCTTGTTTTTTTTTAGAAAAACTAGAATGTAGTGTTCGCAACATGGTTACAGAAAGCTACGGGGAGACAGGAAAGGGGGAATAGAGAGAAAACTCCACCACAGGTGGAATTAGATTTGAGAGATACACCAAAACCAAAATATTCACAGGATTTCAAACAGTCCATTGGAGGAATGTTCTGCAAATTGAAAAGGAAAAATAAATGCATCCAATGGAAGAAAAATTCTTCCCATCCTACTCTCTCTTATTGCGTGTGTGCGGGGAAAACAATAGCCGAGCGACATAGGAAGCCTGCGCGTTCTGTAAGGCACAATGTTTGTGGCGACTGCCAAACTAAAGGGAATACACGGACGGGGCTGGTAGCGGGTCTGCAATGACAACGATTGCAGGGAGCCTGGATCAGAGCGCTGTGCTGGGTGCGGAGCAGCGCTGAAGCTGCCGCTGTGCGTACAGGGACTGGCGCTGCTCTCTGCACACACCGACCGGCTCTGGCCTTTCTGTACTCGTGCTGGGACCAGGGACAATATTGCACATTCCAAACCTGCATTGGGACAAATACCAGATTTGTGCCTGAACCAAAACAAAAACCTAGGGGACTGCCGGCCTGCGTCAGCACTCGCTGGGATTCCTGTTCATGCTAAACTGGAAAATGCTGCAAAAAACAAAGGGGGAAAAAAAAGGACAAAAAGCTGCTCACTCTGCTTGTCCGTCTGTCTATCAGCCTCTTGCACACTGATCACGTCTACTGCTTATCCTGCCTTGGTGCGCGCTGGGGGGGAATTTAATACATGTAGTAGGTATTGAACAGCAGACCGTCACCAGTACTGGACCAGAAGGCTGTATGGAATAGTCACCACAGTATCTGCTCAAATGATCAATATACAACAATGGAAAGCCTGCACTGCACTGGTTCACTTTTGACTACACTATCAGGAACAGCAGCCAGAAGCAAATGCACAGACCCCACATCCTTCAATATCAAAGGACGAAGAGCACAGAGGGTCAGTTCTGTAGTATTGAAATTACATGCATTCGGTACAGTATAGAAAACCACCCTGTTTACATCTAAAGTGTAGAATAGGGCCGATATATTGCAAGTCCATTTCCCACTGTACAAACCAGCGAGTCAAAACCTTGTAAAACTGTCCCGTTTGCAGTGAACCACGTTCCAAAATCTTTTGATTCCCTCTTTTCAGTGCCTCCATTATGTACATTGTCACAGCGACTCCCGAAGGGATCTCACAGCTGTGAAACCACGATGGACACTATGCAGGTGTGAAAGGTGGCCCGACTGCTGCTGGGCCCCGGCGGCCCTCCTCTTCAATCCCCACCCCCATCAGCCTGAGTAGGTCACGAATCTCTCTTGTGTATCCCACACATAGCCGGGGGGGCGGGGGGGTGGGGGTGGGGTGCGTCACTGCAAAGTGTGCGGGATAGGGACTCGTTTGTTTTCAAACGGCACATCGGGTGGTCAGACCATTTACACATTCAAACACTAAACATACATGCAACAGCTACTAGGACTGGTGATTGCACACGGCTGTTATTTGTGTGCGTGAGAAAGAGACAACTCCTCCCCTTCACCAGTAAATGCACTCACAGAACAAACCCAACCGGTCCCCAGTGCAGTCTTGCGTCCCTTCTTAGGGTGCAGCACTGAGGTGCCACCCAGCTGTTTAGCTGAAGAAATATTTTGTTGTGTCAACTGCAACGACCACCAATGACATGCTTTGTGTTTCCACACCACCATCGTCTCAAGTCTCTCACAGAACAGTATCTGAACAGGCAAATCAGATGTGCATCTAGTATGTACCATGTCCCCACCGGTTGGCTCAACAAAAAAAAAATTGATTGGTTAAAACATTTAAAATCAAGAGAATTAACCGACTGATTATAAATCGATTAATCGGCACAGTTTTATTTAATCTACCCCTCCTTTATACATTGACTATAATCTTTCAGAAATTCTGAATGTTAAACTGCATCAGAAATTGATGTCTATAGGACTGCTCAACGTCTTCGCAAGGTCAGGGGTCACCCAGTGAGAGAATATTTACACGGGGGGAGGGAGGGAGGGAGGGAATGTCGGTGTTCCTATCGAGATAGATTTGGACTCGCTGGTACTGCAGACTCCACATGACGGGTGTAGGGAAGCGCAGAGGGTGCCCGGGAACAGCGGAAAAGTACCACAAAACAGACAAACACACAAAATACCCCACCAAATTCAAAGTGCTTTGGCCCAGAAGTTAGCTAAAAATGCACAGTGCATTTCACATCGCTTGTTCCCAGCAGGAGCCAGGACATGTCAGCCGAGCCTCCCGTTCCCCAGGAGGATACACAACTCGTACCAACGTCGTCAGGAGAGGTACTTTGTTCCTGGCTCCTGGCCAGGCATGGCGACTACAGCAGCAATCCTCAACATGAGCTGTGCTGCTCATGCTGAACAAAAGCCGTGGCAGGTCACGTAACCAAACAAGCAGTCATTTGAGAAAGTAGTGTCTTCCATCAAGCCCACCCCAACTAATTTACAACCTCTGTACAAAAGAAAATCATCCCCATGATTACTAGTATGTGTCGTACTTGAGTAAATACATTATTATAAATCTGGTACTGACAACAATGACGATAGTGTATAAGGCAAAGGACCAGCTAGATATTGGAATAAAAACTTTAAAAGTTACATGTACTATGGGAATTTTTAGTCTCACCAGTTGGCCTATATTTACCCCAATAGTGTTCTGTGATTTTACCATTACCAGAGGTCCAAGAATATGTTCAAATGGACATTTACCCACCGGACAGGACACAAATACCCTGGTCAGTCACCTGTCTGGTTCCCTACCCTCTCTCCAAAGAAAACTCCACGCGTTTCATCAGGAGTGAAGCTTGACTGGTTTCTTAGATCTTTGGTAGTTGTAAACATCTCACAACCCCTCAATTTAAAAAAATAATCCTGACATTCCAGTCAGGTTTCCATTACATCCACTTAATTGCAAGGACATCGCTTGAAGCTGGAAGATGTGATGGTCAAAGACTATATAATCCGAAACTCCGGAATCTCAGAACAGAATGCAAGCTTTAAGCAGATCTGAAGTTTTGCCTCAATGAAATGAAGCAGAATAGGAGCTCGTGCTGGATACTGGGAAAGGAAGGGGAGGAAAGTGTCAGTCTTCAAACCCAGGGTCACACATCACCTTGTAACAGGTGGCAGAGGAGGAGCCCCACGGACAACTGTAAGGGAAGAAACACAAAAGGTTAGCAAATGTACACGGGGTAAAAAGAGCACAAACCATCACAACACTCGTGTCCTCACCACCATGGCGGACCTTCAAAGACTCAGGAGTTCTCTACCATTAGTGTATAAACCAACCATAGAGATTAGCCGTATTACAAAGGAAAAAGTCCCTTCCTTTGTCTCCGGGCACAATTACACAATGTGTAACCCAGTACAGCACCAGCAGGGAAGTTCTGTTGACTGTACACTACAATGCACAGAGGGAACCAAAACTCCCACTTAAGGTGAATACCTAGCTACTGGATTATGGACGACTCACACCATTCCTTTCAGCTGAGATCATGCATATAAGCAGCTCACAAGCCATATGTAAAGGCCGAGAGTGTACGGCACAGTGGTTTGGCTAGTCCCCGTCTGTCTCACTCTCTGCAGAGAAACCGTACTCAGTGATGCTATCTGGAAACTCATTGCAAGGAGCCCAGCCAACTACGTAAAGTACTTTGAGACGTCTTCCCGACGCGAGAGGCACTATATAAATGTAAACTGCATGCATTCTAAACAAGTCTGAGTGGAGTAACTTTTAACCCTAATTTATTGCTGAATCTTGATCTCAAGCCTGCAGATTCATAACTGTGTTGAATGGTCTAGTTGCTGGCTTGGAGAAGACAATGTAAAATGTGCACAGAAGGAATGTACTTGTTAAATATTTCTGGTCTTGTTGCCTTTGAAATCTGGTGCACTGAGAACAAGCTTGGAAACGTTTCTCACCATAAGAACATTTCACATTTCTAGTTGTTAATACTTAATTTCTTCAGCATCTCAAAGTGTCTGTACAGGCTATAAGCATTGTGAGCTTGTGAGGCTCGCTGACAGAATGCCAAAGACTCACCTCTGTTCATCTTACTTGGATACGATTTTTGGAAGTGCCGATACTCATCAGGTGCTGGAAAATCAGCAGTTGGATGAAAGGAATATTTTGATTCAAAATCATCTGAGGAAGGAAACATTTAAGACCGGTTACTTGGTGCTCATTGTAAGGCAGGAGAAGATTAACATCTTGGAGTGAATTGAAATCATAAACGTCAGAGTAAAAGTAATAAAAACACACCAGTCTGTACTCAGTAAAAGGAAGGTTAGAGGGAACTTTAGGAAACGGCAATCTCGAGCAGCTAACCTCAGATTCACTCAGGACATATCAGCTTTAAAGTGGATCTCAGACGGTTCTTAAAGGTTCTCAAATGAGCTATATCAGTTACAAATACACAGTTGCTTTGCACAGCTAATCTCTATGGTTGGTTTACGCACTAATTCTGCAGAAATCCTGAGTCTTTGAAGGTCTGCCATGGTGGTGGGGACACAAGTGCTGTGATGGTAAAATCCTGTGAAGCGCTTTGAGATGACGTATCAAGGATTTGAAGCGCTGCTGGCCGCTATCCTGTGTGAAGGGCGCTATACAAATTATAAATGCAAAGTGGTGTTGTTATGATGATGATGATGCCTGGACTGTCATCAGACGACCTCCCAACAATAATATTGTCTGGAGTGGAATATAAACGTGCTGAAAAGACACTGGCACTCAGAACTTCTTCAGAAGGATGCCTTTCAGCCACTTGATCTCATCCTTCCCCAGTACCCACCCTACGGTCTTCCCACTGCACCATCAAGATGTGAAATGAGTGTGATGTGCTGGTCCTACCACCCACTCTGATGTTGATCAGGCTGTATGTAAAGAAATGTTTCCTGGCATCTGTCCTAACGTTTCCAGACAACTGTGATCTCTGCTGGAGGACTCTGCTCTTTGCATCAAATAAACAAAATAAGGAATGTGCAACAAACTCAATAGACCTATTGGGATCATTGCTTCCCCCACAACCATCACCCACTCGTTCTTACCTAGAAATGACTTGGAAGCTGAGCCCACGTGATCCCTGTGTCCATTCCGTATCGGCGGGGGTGGGGGAGGGGGAGCCGCAGGCATTCGCATGGGAGGGGGCGGGGGCTTGCCGCGATTCGGGGGGTCCGATGTGGGCGTCCTGTACGGAGGGGGAGGAGGGGCTTCTCGCGCTCCATTCCGCATGGCGTGCGGTGGGAGCGGAGCTGCACAGAGAAACAACAATTAAGAGGTTCCACCAAACTGTACATCACAAAATACACACTGAATATACACAGGTTTACATCCACTCATTTACATAACTGGCAGAAAGCATCAACAGGAAAACAGCTTTTGTGGCTTGCACAACTGCTAAAAGACCCGTCTCCCTGATTTTACAGCTCACTGCTGTTAGAGATATCTGGAACTGTGGACTTATTTGCATTTGATTCCTTTCCATTGCAAAATGCCTTATCCTGTAGTTCACACTGCAGACACAAACATAATTATGTTGACATAACAGGTTCCATCACTACCAGTTCAGCATCAAATTATCCACACAGAGACTCGGAAAGAACCGTGGTGGCTTTCCTGGTCATTTTAAAGTGGTGGAGCCGGCCTTTGAGAACATTTGCTAGACATTGGAATTAGTCAGCATCCCTCACCCACCCCTATTTATCTGTTGATCTTCGACTTGTTACAGCAAGGTTGTGTATCCTGCTTGAAGGTGTAGCTGAGGCCATTCAGTTTGGGGTGTATCCCTTTGGAGGAAAGGGCTCCCAATTCTGAAAAGGTCTCTGTTCAAATAATAATAATAATAATAATAATCCTTGCATTTGATATAGCGCTTTTCACGTCGGGAGGACGTCCCAAAGCGCTTCACAGAACACACTGTAAAGTGAATTGACTGTAAATTTGTGGGCGAACGCGGCAGCCAATTGCGCACAGCAATGTCCCACAAACAGTCGTAGATTGAAAATGACCAATTTAATTATTGTTTTTTTTTTTTAGTTTTGGAGGGATTATTATTAGGCTCTGAGTGGAGTAAGGAAACTTGCCCAAGGTTTCGCCCTGCCTGGAATTGAACTCAGGTCTCTCACTTGCAAAGCGAGTGCTCTAACCACTGAGCTACAGGACTCCAAATACCCTAGAGCAGCGGTGATTAACCTATGGCCTGCGGGGTGGAAGTGGGCTGTGGGGTGGGACTGTCATGAAGCCGCCCCCTCCCCCCATCCAAACATTCGCACTAGTCCATGGTCTATCAGTAGTGTATTTCCAGGATTTTCTTTTGTGAATATTTTCTTGATTTATGCCATAAATCAGAAATATTCAATCAAGATTTATTTTGTTTTATTGGCTGACCAAAATGGTTGCCTCCTCCCTCACTGCACGGGAGAATAGAAGATGGTATCACATGCTTTAAGGAAGACAGATATTTGGGATTTCACAGACAAAACTCCAGCATTTAAGACCCTGGGCTGAGTTACGGTATATTGGTGATAGCTCCGTGTACTGAACTTTAACTAAAGAAGTTTGACACTGGCCACTGATCCAAGCACCTCCTTCAGGACACTCAAGGTTGAAGGTCAGAATGCGTCAGCAATCGCCTTTTCATGCTGATAGCAAAAGAGAAAGAGCAGGAGCTTTGCCTGATGCAAGCTGTCCTGACTTCCAACCACAGTGGTACAATAATATACAAAGACGGGAGCTCTTTAGAGATGCACTTTGTTGAACTAAGTGGACTTTCAGGCACGAGGCAACAGGAGTGTCACAACAGGAGAGATTGGGATTTTTTCTCTTCTCAAAAATAACTGCTGGAAATGTTTTTCATAAACAATTCCTTCTCTGATTTTGGCCTCCCCTAATTTATCAGAGCAAGGAGTTGAATTCTGAATTCAGTGCTTTTTTGGGAATATGAATGTGGAGCAAATAGCTGTCACAGGCTGGTCTTCAGCCACTTTGCCCTGAAACTTTGGAACTCTCTCCCACAATCCCTCTACCTTCCCTGGTACCCCTTTTTCAGATTGGAACTGAAGACCTCACTCTTCGACCATGCTTACAGTTACCACCTCCTCTCTTCCCCCCTCGGCTCAGTGTCAGGCTCCACCACTGTTAAGAGCTCCAAGCTTTGCCCCACATGCAGGTAAATAAATGTAAGTTGTGGTTGTTGTTTTCTCTCCTCATTCAGATTTACTTCAAACAAATTCGAAAAAATAATAAATTCTACTTCACCTTGAGGCTTTTAAGAGTAGAATCTCTGTAGTTTAACAATGAGGTAAATTAATGACTTGACAAAATCCCCAAATAACGAAGGAGCCTACGGTTTTCTACGGTTCTACGATCTACGGTTTTCACAGAATATTCCACAAAAATATTTTGAACAGTTGAAGGACAATCATGTGTGTCCGCACTGGTCAAAGACAAAATAGAGACTCCACAGAAACCTGCATCAACAAGCGATCTTCTCTTTACTGAACCGCTGTGAGCACAGCATTCAGCCACTGAATCGCAATGTGATTTGGCCTGGAGCCCGAGGAGGTGGCTTGAGCAGGTTGTGATGCTCAGCACTGCAGTGTAAATTGTGGCCGCATGACATTCTGCCTCCGCTCAAAAAAGCCACCCTGCAAGGTTTAGAAATGTTTGAAGTACACTTTTTAAGTAAGAACTTTTAACACTGAAAAAGCCTAAATTCCCCAAAGGTAGTCATTGCAGCTGTGTGAAACATCCTCCTCGGTCTACACTGAGAGTGATTGTGTGTTGGAAATCAATGAGTTTCTCATTCCCGATCACTCTCCTGCTGCAAGCGATATTGCACTACGACCAACGAGGCAGGCATTGGAAAGGAATCCCAATGACACACACGTTCAGCTCATTACATTGGCTCCCTCCCCAGTTTGGACCAAAATCAAAGCAGCTCAGCATCCTCCAGCTCATTGTAAACAACCATCAGGAGGGACATGTTGACGAGCAGCAGGCAGCCATATGCTGCTGCTGCTAAAAATAACAAGTTTAATTTCTCCAACGTGGCTAGTCTGGTTACTCTCAATTTGAGAAAAAAAATGGGATAGTGAAAATGATTCTAGCAGCAATAATCAGCAACGTCCATTCTTTCAGCTCCTTCTGCATTCGGTGCAGGTTGTCCACTGTGCTCCTGCTTCCATTTTGTACAACAAACAAAAGGTTCTTCCTAATGGTGATTTAAATACATGTTTTCTAAACATTTCAAACCTAACATCAGCTGTGAGAGCGTGTACTTTTTGAGATGGTTCACTGAGATTCTAATCATTCTGACTCGGAATGAATTGTTCAAGATCGATTTACTACAAGACTGGAACCCTGTACTGAGACCGAGAGAAGTGGTCAGTGAGGCTACTGTTCTGTACGTGTCACAGTGATGAGACATCATAAAGTCTGCTTCGAAAATCAAACTGTTTTTCAAACGCAACCTCACAGAACCCAAAATGTCGCTGACAATACAGGAAATGTTGCTTCTATATTTCATCAGCTGGATAGTGTTTGGTGCGTATAGGACCTGCGCACACACACACACACAAGCGCGCGCGCGCTGCACACACACACGCCTCACACACACACGCCGCGCACACACACACACACACAGCACACACGTGCACGCACAGCACACACACAGCACACACACACACACGCCGCACACATAAACCTATACGCCGCACACTGAATCCTTACCTGCACCTCGGTTTGGCGGCTCTCTGGCAGGTGGCGGTGGTCGATTCTGAGGAGACGGAGACGGTGGGGGTGGGGCGTTCCCCCTCATCATGCCGCCTGATTTGCGTGACAATGAATTGTGTCTCTGTGGCAATTCCGGGGCTGCCTCGTTCGCGAAGTTGGAGGGGCCGTTATGTGAATGGGGAGGTAGACGGTAAGGTGGGGGAGGGGGTGGCAGAGGCTGGCTCTGAATGTGACCACCGGGCCGAGGAGAGGGGGGAGGCTTGACAGGAGGAGGTACAGGAAGTCCATCCCTATTGCCGGGAGTCCTTTGTCCTGGGGTAGGAGGCAAAGGCTTTTCTCTGTTGTACGACGCACTGGAATGAGTTCTGCTGCTGTGACCCGGTGGTGGGGCAGGAGGCAGGTTTCCACGTCTTCCCACGGGGGGAGGCGGGTGCGGTGCTGACGCACTGTGCTTCACTCCTCCCCCGCTGCTGGGGCGGGATGAGCTGGAAAGATCCGGTAAGGAAGGCCGGTGCGCCCTTGGAAGCTCTGGAGGAGAAGCTTTGCTCTGGGAATCAGAATCATCGCTATAGCGGTTACTGCTAGAAGGAGGTCGGGGAGCAGCCAATCTCGACCCAGGAGGATGCAGAGCAGATCTACTGGAGGAATCTGAAACAAAGGAGACACGTGGCTTATAGCAAACCATCCGCACCAACTCCACTGCACAAGGACCAGGCCACGGAACCTAAAAATATGTTTTTTCAAAGTACTCTCAAAACTTTATATCTTTTTGGCCAAATTAGACAATAGGACAGAATATACCCCGCGGTCTGCAGTTTTTGTTTTGTTTTGTTTTAAAAAGCGACATAATGTACCTCGCTTGGTAAGAAGGTGGAACGAGAAGAGAAAGAGGAGTAGGAGGAGAGGGGACTATATCAACAAGCATGGACTAGCTGAGCCGAATGGCCCATTATCATAATACCATAAAATAATAATAAGTGGTTCATTCAATCCACGACTGTTTGTGGGACACTGGTGTGCGCAATTGGCTGCTGCCTTTTGCCCACAACATGTACACTCAATCCACTTTACACTATATTCCGTGAAGTACTTTACGAAGGCGCTATATCAAATGCAAGGATTATTATACAGATAATGTCAATTTCAGGGATCTTCAGCCTGAGCTGTGAACATGAAATCAGATCCCTCACGCGTAGGCTCAATAACTCCAGCCAAACCAGAGCCTCTCTCCGCTAATGTCACCGGCATTCACAAACCAAATTCAAACCCAGCCAAAAATTACTGCAAAGCAATGATTTAGAATACAGTCCACAAGTTTTTTTTCTATAAAGAGCCATAAAAGCGTAAATGTATTTTTAAATTGACTATTCCTCTCTCTACTGGAGCTTGTGCAAAACAAACACCTTCTTGAAATGATCACAAGAACATGAAAAAAGCGGATTGAGAAAAGGTCAATCCACAAGGCTCTTCTACAAAGCGCCTCTATTCTATATTCCACCCCCCCACTCATCTACAGGGCTAGGTTCTGCTGGAGACTTATTGACCGCGAAGGGCAATTGAGCAAAACCACCAGAACATTCATCCATCTCCACACTAACCAACCATGACCCCCTCCCTTCCCCCATTCTTGTCCCAGCCTCACAGAAACCATGGCATCTTGTGAATACCTGTCCTCTCCCCATATTCTACAATGCTATTCCTAAGCAGATGCTTATCCAGGTCTTGTTTGGAAGAGTTCATTGAAACAGTGTAAGCTGCTTTCATAGGGAGTTTTAAATTAACATTCAAGACTCTTTAGGGCAAAAAAATTCTTTGGATCTCTGATGTCACTTGAGACTTGTTCTGTATTCTCAGCTCAAGATCAATGGGCTGCTCACTTCTTATGGAAGGATTCTTGATCATGTCCTCTCATGATTTTAAAGATCATGCTACTTTCTCCCAAATAAAAATGCATTGAACACTGCGAGTTTCTCCCCAGAAACTCACACAGATTTGCTCAGTTGCTCTCCTCTGAACCTTTCCAATCTTCAACCCACTTTTTAAAATGGGTTCCTGAAAACTACAAGCAATATTCCAAATGTAGCTTCAACAGTGATCATATAATCTTACACTAATCCAACAAAGGGTCCTGATGCCATGGCCAACAACCCTCAGATACAAGTAGTCGCTCACTTCATGGCTGTTTGTGGGCGTTACTGTGCACAAATTGGCTACTGTGATCAACTCCAAAGGAGTCACTAGTTTCACTATTAAACCCTGTGAAGCACTTGAGAAGTTTCAACGACAATAAGGCACTCTATTAAATGCAAGGATTATTATACGAAATCCATTACAATGCAAACAAGGATCTGTTTTGTTGCCAGTAATCACTGGAATCACTGGAAACCTTCAGTGGATGATTAATAACCACAGCCTTTTGCTTCTCCACCATGGCTAATTGCCATCTCTATCCCTTCAACGTATCACATTTAGTTTCTTCCTCCAAACCATATTAACTGAAGGGATAGCTATCCTTCACGCCTGGAACCACCTACTTAATTGGACCACACCTATATGAATGCTATTTCTTCAAGTTATATTAGTCATCTGCCAGAGAGCTTGGTAAGGTCAACATATTGCATAATTTTGCAAACGCATTCCAACCAAGCGATTTGATTGTTTGAAGAGCAGAGGATCTAGAGAAGACTCTTGTAGAAATCTAGTCATCGCCCCCAGATGGAGCCTTTTCCACTGTTCATCTTTTTTTTACCAGTTTCCAATCTAACTGGCTAATTCTCCACTAATTCCACTATCTTTGAACCTTTCACATGTCAGGCATCATCAAATAAATGAAATGCAATTCTTTAGAGCCATTGGATAGTTCTACTCACTAGTTTGGTTCCCCATTCAAAAAATTCCAATAGATCTGTGAATCATGACTAATTATAAAAATTATCCTTGATTTGATATAGCGCACTATCACGTCTCGAGACGCCTCAAAGCGCTTCACAGGATACACTGTAAAGTGAATTGACTATATATTTTGTGGGCGAAAAGCAGCAGCCAATTGCGCACAGCAGTGTCCCTCAAACAGTTGTGGATTAAGTGACCAAATTATTTTTATTTATTTTGCAAGAATTATTATCCCTGGAAAAACGATTCGCCAATCGACTGATAACCGGGTTCCTACTTACTGCTAGGTAAACTGAGGCGTATGGAATAAGGAAACTTGCCCAACGTTTCGCCCTGCCGGGAATCGAACCCAGGTGCTTCGTTTAGGCGAGTCCTACAAGTTCTCTAACCGCTAAGCTATAGGACTCCACTTCACTTCAAAACCACAGAGTCTATTCCCATCTCCTTTAGATGAGCATGACATTGTGTAAAATGCCTTGCTGCAGCCCCTAGGCTAATTAATCGCTAATTTCTAGGCCCTTTTATTCTGAAAAAACAGGCAACAGTTCTTGCCCTCCAGTGCTCAGTGTTTACAGAGCTCTTAAAAATATTAATCAGAACCTTCCCCCATTTCCTCAGCTTCCTTGAGGATTGAAAGGCGCAGGCTGCCTGGCTAAATTGCAGGACTGTCTTCATTGACAATAACCAATATGCAAAATCTACAATAAATCTTTCTCTCGGTTCTTTAACATGCTGCACATGAACGAACTAGTGAAATAATTTATTTGCATCTGCTTACCTTCTTACTCCCATCCAATATTCCAAATAGTTACCGACAACTCACTCACAAAATACACAATCAATTCACTTTACAGAATATCCTGTGAAATGTTTTCAGACATCAATGACGTGATAAGGGGTTATATTAAAAGCAAGGAATATTATAACTCCCTTCTAAATGACAGTAACCCTGACTAAATTTTGTTTCCTTGTAATATTTAAATATTTCTCTTTGACCTCCAGTCACTCATGCCACCAACTTTAAAGCAATTAAAAAAACAAAAATAGAAGTCGCTGGGAACACTCAGCAGGTCAGGCAGCATCTATGGAGAAAGGAAAGTGAGTCAATGTTTTGGGTCTATGACCCTTCGTCAGAACTGAGTCATGTTGGGAGGGAGAGGCTTTTAAGGACTAATACTTTCTCCTTTGTCTTCCTTGCCCTGCCTTCCCCCTCTCTGTTAGCTTTTGTTTTCAGATTTCCAGCATCTGCTGTATTTTGCATTTTGTTTAAAGCAATTTAATTTGTTTGCTGCCGAGACAGGAAATGAACTGATAAAGCTGTACCTGACTTGTGTACTCACTCTGCTGACCTTTACCCTAGGACTCTCCTCGAAGTCGGTCATTGTGGCTGACAGGCACTTTAGGGCCAAGAGTAGAGATCAACTCCCTTGGTACATAAACCCCGATCTGAACTTCCCTCCGTAAAAGCTCGTTTCAAAATACTTGCCGCATTGGCTTGATTGATTAGGTCAGATGTCGATAAAAAGTTTAATCATAAATATGGGATGCTTTAATATGCATAAGTCAATTCCCACACGATGCTTCATCACACTGCAATCAGTCAAAGCCCATCATACAATAATAATACTTGCATTTGATATAGCGCCATTCACGTCAAGAGGACGTCCCAAAGCACTTGACAGAATATACTGTGAAGTAGTGACTGTGTATTTGTGGGTGAACGCAGTAGCCAATTTGCACACAGCGATGACTCACAAACAGCCATGAAGTGAACAAACAATTTTATTTGGGGGATATTTGTCCAGTACATGTGGAGAGAGAAACTTCCTGCTCTTTTCGAACAGTCCCATGGGAGCTTGGACCCTGTTCTTGTAAGTGTATTCACTTCCATCATCATGATTTAATCACGAGATTCCTACTACATCATAGCTACCAGCCTCCACCAGTGCCTCCAGTTTCACTTTTCCGAAGGCTTCTTGTGTTTATGCACAACAACTTGCAATTATATAGCACCCCCTCACGCAGGGTATCGTCCTATCGCTTGACAATGGCAGAGCACGACGCTTAGCCAGGAGAGGGCATGGTGACCATAGACACGGCTGATGAGGAAAGTCTTCAGGTGTGACCTGAAGATAGGGAAAGGAGGGGGCAAAGTGGAGGGATAGAGAGAGAATGTGCTCGGTAATTGCTCTTTGTACCTTAATTTTTCTGTCTTTATTGCCTTGTCTTCCTATTTAGGGCTTTCCAAAAGGTTTTCTGCTGTTCTTGGTTTTCACTATTCTTGGGACATCCTCCTGACTTGAAAGGTGCTATACAAATGTAATTTGTTGTTGTTATTCTCAGCGCCTTGGAACATCCACCCAACGTGAAAGGTGTTATATGAATGTAAATTTGTATCTGTATTGATTTAGACGTTTCCCCCTATTTTTTGGTCTGTTCACATTTCCTGCTCACCAAGAAGCCTGGTCCATTCTTATCTCTGCATCCCCATTCAAATCTAGTTTAAATTAAGCCGAATTGGTGCCTGTGTTTTACAACAGCAACTTAGCTCCTCATCTAGCTAAGTGCAAATCACCTTTCCTATAATAATTTCATATGGGAAAAATGTTCCCGAGTTGTGTGTACGACTGTTTCAGAATAAACAAGGAACCAGTCTGATTTGCTCTCCCTGGACAAGGGGCAGCGAGGCCAATTGTATCATCCGCCCTACGCCCAGGACACTGAGCCTGGGACCTTCCACCACATGCTGCATTTAGATAGCATACCACCTTGCAAATTTTTCTTCATTTAATACACAAATTCTCTCTCGCCCCCACATCACACCATTTTGATGACAACCTGTTGTTCCAAAACATTCCACAGTCCGAAGGTAAGTGGCGCAATGGCAACGACAACAACAACTTGCATTGATATAGCACCCTTCATGCGGAGTAGCCTCCTAGAGCGCTTAAATGACCATCCAGTTATACCTCTCAAGAGAGCATGCCTAGGCACCTGAGATTGGGGGGTGAGGGAGTGGCACGAAGGTCTTCAAAAGTACCTGAATTGTCTCGGTTTCCAACTGGTCGAAGTTTAGGAACTCCACCCTGAAACAAGCCACCCAGCCCTCCAGACACTGGGCCTGCACCAAACCCACCGCCTCCACCACCATCACCACCTCTTCCTCCTCCTCCTCCTCCGCCGCCACCCCCACCTCCTCCTCCTCCGCCTCCTTTAGGTTCTGCGGATAAAACAAAAGCACTTTTAGCTTTCCAAAATTAAAAGCAATCTTTTTGAAGAGTATAGCAGTGTAACACGGAAGATTACAGGGCCACCCCTGCTGCACAAGTGGTAAGTGATTATCTAACAGAAGTCTTCACCAGAACCTTAAAACTGGTTGAAACTCAGTTCTTACCAGGCGAATCACATGGGCTAAAAAGACAGTGAAGGCCTACAAACCCAGCCTCGTCTACAAACTGCCCACGGCCACACGTGGGAAAAACAGAAACTACAATTTCTGCAAAATCACAAAAAAAAATTAAATGAACGGTTTCCATCATTTGATATCATTTTCCCCAAATGTAACCAATACTGACATTTGAGCACTTACTTTCAATAACTGGTGCACTTCTGTCATTTACATTTGTCACTTTTCGTAGCCTGGCTCCCTTCGAGATGTCACTTAACAACGCTCCTCGACCACGCTGTTCATCTCGGCTTAATTTCGGTGGAGCAGAATTCGCCTATGGAAAGGATGACATCAGTGAAAAAAGGAAATCACTGCAAGTTAGCTCTATTAAAGCTGCAGTTCTCAACGAGACTCTCGCCTCGCTATACAGCTGTGAATGTACCCATAAATCCAAGTGTTTCTCTCTTTGTATGGATGTCAACCGGAGGTAAATAATAAATCCTATAATAATAATCCTTGCATTTGATATAGCGCCATACACGCCTTCGAGATGTCTCAAAGCGCTTATCAGTCAATTTACTGTAAAGTGAATTGACTGTATATCTTGTGGGTGAAACCAATGTAACTACTGTTCTGTGACACTTCTCTTATTGTACAGCAACAACACAATTAACTATGTCCATATAACACCTGCACTCGCATTTTACTGCTTTGAAGTACAGGCTGACCCCCAACATAGTGCAGGTGTTTGGGTCTATAAAGTGAGACACTTTGCGCTGTAGCATTATTCAGCTTTCCACGTGAAGGTGCTATATAAATACAAGCTATATGGTGGGGAAACATTATAAAATGTTTTATAAAATACCGTTCAGCATACAGCTTGCTTTCTACCTCCCGTTAATTACCTGGTTAAAGTTTGGAGGTGGAGGCGGTGCAGCCGGAGGGGGTGGAGGGGGTGGAGGGATCGGCATGCTTTCCCACTGCCGGCTGCTTCAGTCTCTGTAGTGTTTCACGTAATGTTCAGAGTCACTCATATAACTGAAAAACATAAACGATAATACATGAATTGCCCTGAAACCATCATTAAAACATTTCAAAACCTGCATTACCTTCTCTCAAACCCTCACCCCTACCCCTCTCTCTCATTCCTGAAAGCACAGCCAGCTGTACATTTGCAAGCAGAGCTTTGAATCTTTCAATCCTAAACAGCCATGAGTCTGGAGCAAGAGGTTCCCAATATATTGAGGCTCACTGATCTCACCGAGATCCGGATCTCACCCAGGAAATGCACTGATCTGGATAAAAGGGTTTCTGGTCTGAATCCCAATTGTAACTGCCATTTATGACCAAATCACTATCCAATGATTCTGAACAATATGAAGCACTGTGGAGTTTATGGAGTCCTGTAGCTCAGTGGTTAGAGCGCTCGCTTCGCAAGTGAGCGAACCTTGGTTTGATTCTCGGCAGGGTGAAACGTTGGGCAACTTTCCTTACTCCACACGCTTCTGTTTACCAAGCAGTAAGGAGGAACTTGCTTTTGCGGGGGGAATAATTCCTCTAATAAAAAATTGGTCACTCAATCCACTACTGCTTGTGGGACGCTGCTGTGCACAATTGGCTGCCGTGTTTTGCCCACAAAATACAGTCAATTCACTTACAGTATATTCTGTGAAGCGCTTTGATACGCCTCGAAATTGTGTTAAGGTGCTATATCAAATGCAAGGATTATTATTATTATTACTGATGGGGATCAAAAGAATAAAACCTGGCTTTTTTCCCCACAACATTCTTTTCGTTCCTCTGATTACTAACTTGCTTTTTTTTATATAAATATAAAATTCCCCTCAAGTTGCTGCTTACCACATTTGCTTGTTTATTCACATCTCTACTTCGCTGCTGTACTGCTCTCTTACCCCGTGAGCCTTTGTTGCCCATTTATCTGTTCTGACATTTTTAAAATGAATTTGAGAAGCAGCCGTTCCAAACTATGGCTTGAAAAATGTCCTGCTTTTCCTGCAGCTTCTCCCATTTATTATTGAATTCCAGTCAGTTTCAATTCTTTTCACATTTCTTCACATCATTACTGTTGTAACCTATACACGTATGACACAGCTTCTCTGCAGCTCCTTTAAAGCCAACATTTCAGCATACAGCGCTTTCCACAAGCCTCCTCGAGCATTTCACTGATACTAATACCACTGGATGCTAACTAAGCGTTCCCCAACCTCAACTTCCCTCAGCGTTACTGGCTTGTTTCCATTATTAGAGCTAGCTGTGACCTTGTTGGCTCTTCAACAAACTCTGTGAAGAAACAGTCCTGCACTGAATCAGCAACACACTTTCCTCAGCTTTTACCTCTCGGTACCCCAGTCGGTACCAGGATCATTGAAATCTCACCCGATTCGTTGTTCTGCCTTTGCTGCAGATTTCTCTTAGTTGCAAAAATATTTCCTAGTCTAAGAATTAGAACATCTAAGAATCATCTTTTTCCTACTTATCCCAAGCTGCAACCCAAATGTTTCTGTTGGATGCAAAATCCTCCTGCGTTTGGCATTAATCCTCCTGCAAACCCTACACTCTCAGCATTTTAATCTACAAGTCTTACATTCAGCCAAGTGTCTGTTGCTTCACTTAGCAATACAACATTACCAGTTAACTAGTTGCAAAGGACAAGGCAACGCCAATAGGGCTATTCTGCTCCATCTGCTCAATTTAGTAAATCTTGCAGAGTGCACTTATAATGGAAACCCCCATTTGGAGCGCACATCCAACAATTTGTTAAACTGAGCTAACGAAACAGAATAGTCCACAATATTATTGAAGATTTCCATCAAGCAATTCTACAGATTTAGCGGGCATGGTTTCAGAATGAAATAAGAGGAAAGAATGTTCCCAAATAATTTTTGTGGAGTCCTGTAGCTCAGTGGTTAGAGCACTCGCTTTGCAAGTGAGAGACCTGAGTTCAATTCCAGGCAGAGGGCGAAACCTCGGGCAAGTTTCCTTACTCCACACAGAGCCTAATAATAATCCCTCCAAAACCCAAACCAAAAATAAATTGGTCATTTTCAATCTACGACTGTTTGTGGGACATTGCTGTGCGCAATTGGCTGCCACGTTCGCCCACAAATATACAGTCAATTTACTTTACAGTGTGTTCTGTGAAGCGCTTTGGGATGTCCTCCCGACATGAAGTGCTATATCAAATGCAAGAATTATTATTATTATTAATTTACAAAACTGGCAGGGTAACCTATAATCAAGGACCCAAGTAAGTGATGTACGCTTATGAATCCATGCATGGATTTGTGTCAACCTATTTGGACACTTTCTACCATTTCCAGTTTTGCATTCCAGTGTTAAGACCATTGTGCTTATGTGTTACAATTACTGTACTTATCATTGCTGCTTTAGCTGAGGAAAGCGTTTATGTGCAGTTTCCTCCCTTGCTCACCTGACAATGTCCATTCCTTTTAGCTTCAGGTTAAATATGCTTTGCAGGATTAATTACTCTTTGACAGTGCTCTTTCGCAAGAAACTCCTATAAAATCATTTTCAAGCATATTCAAATATCCAGAGCTTTAGACTGAGCATCAGTCTTCATTAGTTTCCCTGGAATCAAGCCTGTGTTTTGATAGCTGTCATTTTGGTGCAATTTTATTTCATGACAGTGAAGTTAACACCGGGCGGGATTGACACCAGTGAAATTACGGAGATTTGTTTGGGTTAATTGCAAAGGTGCTATTTTCACTTATCCTCCACTTTTCAGATTCTTTGGTTTGTGTGCAGCTTCAAAACATTTCAGAAGACCAACCATGAAGCAATAATTCTGTGGCGTTCATTATTGTTTTTTTTAATCAGCCTCTCCTGTGAATTGCCACTTGTCTGGGCAATGAAAGGAATGTCCACTCCCAGTGAATGAGACACTTAAAACTATGACCTACTTAACAACTGAACTGCCAATTTTATCATTCAAGATCAATTTCCAGTATTATATGGGTAGTTTTAACATTCAACTTCACTGAAGTTAAAGCAAGTTACAACTTCAGAGTATGGGGGGGGGGGGGGGGGAGAAAATGCAAAACCTTTGATGATATAAAAGCCAGTGGGCACATATATCTCTAAGAAACAAAGAAACTGGTTAAAGCCATTGCAACATTTCACCATTATAAAACCACAAAGGACAGATTTAGCAAAAACCCTCTGAAATGTCTGAAGCAGAAAGGTGAAGATTCCCACCTGGTAAAAGAGAAGTGTCTGGAATCAGTTATCAACCTGCTGGGCACCACCTCCCACCAATAAAATCCAACAAAGCTGTCTTTAGAGTATTCTTGGTGAAATCCCCAGCTACTTTTCCTCGCGCGCCCCTTCTCCTTGCGCAATTCCAAGGCATCCTACGGCCTCCTCGACTCGGGGCTCTGGGCCAGTTGTGAAGCAATGGCACCTGTCGCAGTGGTAACACTCAACACTAAATCAGAAGGTTGTGGGTGATTTGTGATCACAATGTTTAAGCTGGTGCTCCAATGCAGCGCGGGGGGTGGTGGGGGATGTATTGCATTGCCGGAGATGCCGTCCTTTGGACAAGACGTTAAACCAAGGTCCCATCTGCCTGTTCAGGTGGACATTAAAGATCCCATAGCACTATTCAAAAAGAGAAGGAGTTTCTCTCTCTCAGTTTCCTGGCCAACAATCTCCCAAATGAAATTGATCACTCATTTTGCGGCTGTTGTGCGCAACTGGCTGCCACGTTTTACCCATACAATACACAGTTACTACACTTTATAGTATATCCCGTGAAGCACTTTGAGATGTCTTGGCAACGTGATAAGGCACTATATCAAAAGTGCAAGGTCGCTATACAAGACAAAAAGTATATACATTCTTTATTATATATGATAAAAGATAAAAAGATCAAGACCAGAAATTGAAAGAAACCATGCTAAGTTGCAGCCTAAAAACTCAAGAATCAACTTATGTAATTTTAATTGATGACGTATAAAATCTGTGAAGTAAAGGAAATTACTAACTTGACTGGATCAGAACCTCCTACACACGACCAAAAAAAATTGCACCCAATTCTAGTGTTTTCCTCATTACATAACAGACCACGTACGACCACCGCAAATACATTTAGTCAATCATCAGCTGATCCCCTTTCATAAGTAAAGCTTAGTTCATGAAGCATTTACACTACACAGCAACACTGCCAATGGTTCAGTGATTTGATCCAGAGAAGCTAAGCAAGACAGTAAGGTCCCAATTACTGTAGCAGATTTAGGATGCTGTTATTCATCTCAGCAGCTAGGGTTCTAGAGGACTAAATCCTCTTCAAGAATGTGAACCTTGATTCACAACACCTTTGCGGACTTTGGTTAAGAATAGGATAACAGGTCTGGGCTTGGCTGTGATGTGAGGTGCACTATGGTCTATGGTCGAGAAGTCTGCCAACACTTGCTATCAAGGTTGATGCATGAATAAAGGCCACTTGAGGGAGGGCACCCGTGCATCCCAGGGAAGGAAAAGGGAAGTGAAAAATCTACTATTCACCTGCTTCTTATCTCTACAAGACAAGAATTAAAATGACTGCATTCAGCCAGGTTCAACATCTAAATTAAAAAAATATATAAACCCGGGCTGCATAGTCAGAGATACCGTCTTTCGAGTGAGACCTTAAGTCAAGATCTTGTGTGAGCTTGTCCAAGTGGACAATAAAGATCCCATGGCACCATTCGGAGTCGCCTTCTCTCAAGACTGAAGATCTCCAGCTTGTCTAAACATTGCTAATAGCTCATTCCTCTAAAGTTAGGGATCATCATCAATGCTCCTCTGCACCACTTCTAGGCCTGGGCAGCCCCTTAATTTATAATGACTTGAACTGTATGCAGTATTCACTAGAGTGCTGTACAGTCTGAGAATGACGTCTGCAGATCTAAACTCAACTGATTTAATAAGCATCCTGTTTGCCTTGTTTATTGCTGGCTCATACTGTTTTGACAGTGAAGAATGAGTCAAATAACACCCCTTAGATCTCTTTCAGCTTC